GATTGGAACTAATCATTGAACATATATAAAATAATTAAACACGTTCACATCACTTAGGTATCACAAACCTAGGGTTCATACATCTTAAATTAACAATAAAACTCAATTAATTGTTAAACTAAGATTTAAATATTATTTAAGCATGATTAATAAATTAAAACAAAAATAAAAGCAAGCCTAATTATCATGATCATCAACTATTATAAACAGCAACTAAATCTACAGATTTTCACATTGGTTTAAATATTAACATCATAAACTGAGATTTTAAAACATCGGGTTAAGCTTTAACATGAGATTCATCAATTAAACATATTAAATCTTGAATTAACTACATGGAAAGGTTTGTAGGAAGATGATATTGCCTCAAGCGTCTTGTTGAACTCCTAAATACGTGCATGCAAGATCCCTCTTCACCAAAGTCGTGAAATCCCGCCTTCCTCTTGACAAACGCCTTAAGAACTCTCTCAAATCTCACAAATTATGATTAGAGTTTGAGAGAGAGGAAGAGGGGCTGCTAGGGTTTAGAATGCTGATGAAAATATGTATTTTTCATGTGTAAACATGTATATATATAACTGCATACCCGAATCAAAACAACCCAAACCCGAAACAGGAAACCTAGTCAGACTAGGAAAATAGTCTTTGGTATTTTACCTGTAAACTTTCACATACGATCTCAGAATGAGGTTATTTAAGATGAGTTAGAAAGATATTGAAGATACCTACAACTTTTGTCTTTTTAGTTTTTTCAGATTCGAATTGTATCGGTGTGTAATGCAGATAAACTCTTAACTGGTTATTTTTCCATATTTTTCCTTTGTGAATGTTTAACTTTTGTATACTTTCATATATACTCTTAACTGATCTTAAATCAATTGTTAGCATAATCATTCATCCATAAATTATATTCATCATAATTAGTTCTCATTTATCAATATAATTCACACTATTTTCCAAAATTCATGAGGTTTTACAAATATTAATTGCATATTTATTGTATAATATCTCATATCTAAAGTGGAATATTTATCTTATTTAACATAAGACTAACATGGTTAGATTTTATGATATATATAAGTTTTTATGTTTATTGGAAGAATAATTATAACGTAATAAATAGAATGAATTAAATAAACTTTAAGGAATATGATTAAAGCTTATAATATATGTTTAATTTTTAATATTAGTTCTTATGTTTATTGTAAGAATAGTTATAGTGTAATAAATAGAATGAACTGAATAAATTTTAAGACATTATTGAAAATTGCCAAATTTTTGAAAGGAAAAGAGGCAATCAAAAGTTTTAACACCTCAATCCTCTTTTGTAAATAGTATAAATATAGGTATACTTTGGGACATAATTTTAGTCTTTCGATGAGTCTTGGATGTTGTAAATAGATTTGGAGATTTAGATCACGTAACTAACTACTATTTTCGACGGTTTGGTTTGTCGAAAAAGTAAATTGTAGCCCATGTTGCATGTGGAATTCCTTGTGGGAAATCAATTGCAAATTCATCATGTAGATTTTTTCTACTCTATTGTGAGAAATGTACTTCTTAATGCAAATTCAATATTTGGTTGGAAGTAATTGGTGGAAAAGCTACATGGTTTTAGACAAAGAAAAGGAAATATGGATAGATGATTTTCCTATTTGGAATTGGAAAGAAATTGTTTGATGAGGTATAGTTATTTTTAGATTTTTCTTTTCTTTTCTTTTCTTTTTCTTTTTTTCCTTTTTTTTTTTTTTTTTGAGGCTGCATCTTTTGCAAACATCAGTTTTTCTTTTTTCTTTTTTTCCTTTTTTTTTTTTTTTTTGAGGCTGCATCTTTTGCAAACATCAGTTTTTCTGTAGCATTTGCTATTTTATTTTTTTACAAATTATAAATACATTGGCATTTTCTAATCACAACGTTGCAAATCAAACAATTGAAATATGAATCAAGGTTACACTATTTACTTCTTTAGCTATATTTCCGCACAACGAAACAACCCTTGAACAATCAACAATCACCTATTATTAATAAGTAGATGATTGTAAATAATTCTAAAGTTATCACTTATACCTATTTCTCGATCAATACAAAAAAAAAACTGAGCAATAGAAAATTATGATTAAATATACTCTTCACCATGCTTTGATAGCGGCGAAAATCCAAATATTGGTTTGTTAGTCTTTGAAGTTAAGGTGACTTAGGTTTCTCCCCACTTTAATCAAGGGTCTACCATCTAGCACCTACAGTAAAGATTGTTATCCCTTTAAAAAATTTAAAGACAGTTTGATCATATTAAAACGTTAATATAAAACTATAATACTCGATTCTTATCATGATTTTAAAGTTTTGATATAACAGTTAGAGGGGTTTTCACATGGTGACAGAGCTCATGGTTCGATGAGTCTTTATGGGATGCTATGATTGCTCCGAGATTCTGTTGCACGGATTATAGCTCAAGATGGAGTGCATGTGGCGTTACATTATATCTCCCTTTGGTGTAACTTGGTCCAATAGGGGTTCGGGCTCCCTTAAGTGCACATGATGTCAAATTTGGCTTTGGTGTGTCTCTCTTCATTTGTGAAGAAGTTGAGGTGCTATCTCCATTAGTCAATCTTGTATTTTGGGCTTTAGTTGGACTCAATTGAATCCGAGCCAAGGCCGAGATTTGCACGGAAGTTGTCTTGCATCCATTCGGTTGTGTGAGATTCAAAGTGGAGATTTGTAAGGAAGTTGTCTCACATCCATTTGGTTGGTTGGGCATAGAATGGAGTTTAGTCTCACATTGGATAGAGAGTAAGATGCATAGATTGTTAAATATGCTTGGGCTCATAACTCAATTAGGATTAGTCTTTTTGAGTCCAATTAGATATTGTAATCCATCTCGTAATGAGCTTTTCCAAAAACCATAATAAGATGGTATCAACTTTGAATGAGTCCAGATTTTCAGCCCATAAATAAAACGCTCAACCTACGGGGATATGTTAGGATTAATATAAAACTATAAATTTTTTTTTAAATATATCGATATAATGGTTAGAGAGACTTTCACACGTCAATAACAACAAATGTGTCTATATATATCTTTATAACTTGTGACATTCAACAACAAAATAATCAGCAACAAACATGCGGAACTAAGAAAATTTTGTTGATGTGTTCTCCAATAAAATTTCAACCTCGATTAGGATGGCTAGCCAGACCTCACTCACAATTCACAAATTTCGTTGCTTGTACAAAGTGACGCTAACGATGTCCTTATTGTGAGTCCATTTTTTTTTGGAGCCAACTCCAAGACTCAAATTTCTTTCACTTCGTACAACTAGCATTTTAGTGATCGAGCACTTCTAGCGGCATTCGCCCAAGTCGAGCGTGGCTCCCACTCTCTATTAGGAGGGGGCACGTGTCTAATAAACTCAACCTAACCCAAAAACCTAACGCTAGTTAGATTTTGAACCCAACACTCTCCTACACTTGCCCAACGGAAGTGTCCTTAGACTTTCTCTTTAGGAACTTTGCTATAGGGACCCAAAATATGGGATCAACATGGAGAACAAGTGAGTTGTCTTTCTCCTATTGCATAATGAGTTGGTCTTCATTATAATGGCCAGTTTATTATACAATAGGAGGGGAACACCTCACATGTTCCCCCTGTTAGTCCTATATTTTGGGTCCTTGGACAATTTTTTCCCTAACCTATTTTATTTCGCTAAATTTCACATGAAAATTTGTCATTTATTTTTCAAATTAACAGCATTGATTCTAACAGCTCTATGGCAAGCATATGCCCAAAAAAACAGATGAAAATAATTTGTTACTCCCAAAAAATTACATATGGTTCCTTTTTCAATAGAATTCTTTTTTTTTTTTGGACTAAGAAAGAATTTTCATCTTCTTTTTTGGTAGATACTTACCACTGACATGTTAGAGTGATAGTGCAAATATGAGTAGTAAAAGATATATTTTCAAGTAGGATTTAAGAAAATAAAGCAGTTCATGAGAATTACGTGCAATAATCCCTAAAGTTCAAGAGGTTTCGCCTAATAAAAAAGTTGTTGGGGTTTTCTGTAACAAAATTTCACGGGGTTTTCTGTAACTAACCCTTATTTTTTTCAAGTAACTTATATTGTAAGGAAAACAAAAGGCTAAGTAATAATATAATCTTGGTGGTGGTGGTGGTGGTTTTTGTTTTTTGGGGGTGGTTGGGGGTGGTGTGGTGGTGGGGGGGGGGGGCGGATCCACCGAACAAAATTTCCTAGATTAACTCTAGGCAAGCTGAAGAATCGACCAGTTGAATAAATTGAGAGTAAAGATAAAAATTACACTAAAGAAATAAAGAGGGGGGGGGGGGGGGGG